TTGCAAGTGGTGAGGTTTGTCTCGACCACTGTGCATTTGGGTAGTTTAAGAATTGGTCCGTCTCAAGTCAAGTTGTGACGTTGAGTAAACCGGATTAAACAGATCTTGTAAGATTGTTTAAGTGATTCTTAATAAAGCAAGTTAACTTGTCTTGGATTCGTTTGAGTTTCTCTTTTGTGGTATCCATACAAACTTTCAACTCTAACCGTTGCAAATAGATTTGGCTGTCTCAGTACATGTGTTGTCACATCCTGATGTCATCGAGTAGATAAAATTATCATTTGGCTATATATTAGACAAGAGATTATGTAAGCGTTTTAAACAAGAAAGATAATAAAAGTAAAGTTTCTTCTTCATTGCATTACTCTGTTTCCTTCAATCTTCATCCACTTTATATTATATTGTATTAAAGAAAAAATGTATGAATCGAATCTCTCGTCAAACTAATAATTCGTCATGAACATTTCTAACACATCAACGTAGTTACGTGGCACCCCTTGAACCAAAGTTTTCCAAATAGATTTGTCGGGCGTTCATATACACGCATGCCTACTTCGTTGAATATAGTTAAATGTCAAACCTCTAATTACTTTGTCAACGTCAAAGGCATTTAGAGATGCGTAAATATGAGCCGGTTCTTACCCAATAACAGCTTTTAAAAATTTATATTTAAAAGATATGGATAGATACCACTTATCCATTAAAGAAACCAAGATAGTAGTAATAATGGATTATTCGTTATATTGTGCTTTCTGCATTTTCTTCAATCTCTAACTGACACAATCGATTTCACAGAGTGTCCAATATTTTGTAAGCTGGGAAGATAATGATATGTTTTTTCTCCTTCAAAGTCCTACCATTGTTTATGTAAAACGAAACCACATATATTTCGGAGACTATTGACTAGCTAAGAATTTTGGAAGGGATTATTTACAATGTTTGGATTCAATTCGCGTTGGGAAAGACTATTTACAATGTTTGGGTTTCCGGCAAAGAGGAACCCCCCCCCCTATTGACTAGCTAGGAATAAGTGTAACTGCTGGACCAAAATTCAGAAGTTTTGTTTCTCCCAGAATATATATCGGTTGATAGTATATTAAGGACAATGAAGATTACATTATAATAAATATATATTGTAAAGATTATAATAAGAACATATATTGGAAGGTTACATGAGCAAGCTTCTAATGACAGAAGCTTCATGGCTATCTTCATCAACGGAGTCGAGGAGCTGCGCCAAACGGTCACTGAGATTGTCAACTTCTCGGTGCAGCTTTCTTATGTAGTTGCATGTCTCCTGAAGTACCTTTGATGCTGACACCTAATATATTATTAAGAGCAGACATCATCAGACCACATACATGCTCGGACATCACGCAAACATGTCTTTTCGACGTTTCTTTTTTATCAAATTAGAAAACAAAATGTTGTAAGACACAAAAGTGTCCCAGCTACTTTTAAGGAAAAGGGAACTTTATTTTTACAAAAACAAAGTATATACTTTGAAGACGTCAAAAATTGAATGTTATGCATAATGCATATGTAATATACCTTATCAGAACGGCGCCGTTCACGAATCTCCGGCAAAAATTGACGGAGCTTACTAACGAGGTCGATCATCTGGTCATCGGAGATCCTTAGAGAACTTGAAGATTGCCTTGATCTCCTGTTAGACATTTTGTTGTAGGTTTTTTTCTTTTTGATTAGTTGTAACACTACAATGTTGCAAGAAAATAATCCTTAAGTTTGTGTGCTTCCTCTCTTTCTCTGGATTGAACAGTGGATAAAAGATGGAGATGGATAGAGAAAAAGAAAGGAGGGAAGCTTATATCTAGTAGAATAGAGGGTTAATATTTATCACACAAGTTTTGTTTTGTGTTGAAGATGTGAAAGAAGGAAGATGATCAGCAACCAGAAGAGAAGAAAGGAGCAAGTGTAAGAAAGTGTTTCGGTGTATAGAGACACTAAGAGATATAAGGAAATTTAGAAAGTGATAAGAGGAATTTAAAGAGATCAAGGACCACAAGAGAGGGAGAGCAATAAACCTAGACAATGATGTAATAGGAGAGAAAGAGACTTGATAACCTCTAACTAAAATCATTTAAAATTATATATATTTACTATATATTATCTAGCTAGATATATCTGGAGGATAAATGTGCAATGATCAAATGACATTCAGTGTGAACTCGGTTGTAATTTCTTTTCATTAAAATATTTGTTAATGTTGTGCAATGTTATTCAATGGTTTTGTTCAGTTAGTCAAGATAAATAAGAGATGACCAAAAAGTCAAGATGAATAATATGATTAAATTTACAATACAACAATTTATCCAATGTAATCGTATAAGTTGTGACATATGTATTTAACAATTTTACCCCAAAAAAATTATTTAACAAAAATATATGCGTGACACTTTGGGATAGACCTTTCACATTTATCACAAGTTACTATAAAACTTTGCAGCATGTTTACCATTTTCAGAAAACTGTAACAAAATAAAATGTAAACTTATTTACAGAATTTGAATGGAGAGACGTGTCGAGAAATATTTACTTACTAAGAAAATTATATCATATGTGCATTTGTTTGTTAATAAAACATTTTTAAATTAGTAAATTATTAATAAATGAAACCATTGTATATAATATATAATTATGTTGAATAATAGAGGAGTTTTCGTATTTTAAAACGGAGAAAGAGATGAAAAGAACTGTATGTTCCCAAAGCTGGTGTAGAAATTGAAGTTGGATTTAAGAGAAGTGTTCCATATTGAGCTAACAATGTGGCCCTTTCTGTGCATGTCACTAAAAGGCAATACCATGTGATGACATAGACTTTCTATTTTCATAACCATTACTAGTTATTTTATCCCACATATAATTAATAATTTAATATTTATAACTAGAGCCAGTGAACGATAGAGGAAGTTCATATGTAGGTGATCATCTTCAAAAAATAAAGATTGAACATATCTTCCATTCAAGACTATTATACAATAGAAATTTTATAAATTAGTACTCAAGAATAAAATATAAATATGTTTCGGTTCAAAATAAAACATAAAACTATAAAATAATATTCTATTTTAAAAATCTTATATAATAAATGATCTCATTAAAATCATATTAATAATTTTTATATATTTAAGCATTTGTCTAAGTACAAACAAAATAATTTATTGTATATATTATATTCACAGTAAACTTATCTCCATATTTCTTAACACTTCAATATATTTTGATAATATTTAATCAAATTATATCTATAATCGTATTTACATTATATGAAACATATATTATATACACAAAATATCTATATATAATAGCAAACCGAAAGTGACATCAGCATTTTTTTATAGGAAAAAAAAAGTTCAATCCAGTGGTCATAGTTAACTTAATTTTAAGATCTAATGGACCCAAAAAAACATTTTCATATGATTGATGATGTCATCAAATAGTTGACAACTCTTCATTGAAAAGACATATATTTCATTTTAATAGCTACAATCATATTTGTCATATCTTTTCATAAGTTTAAATATTAATATTGACTTTTTAGAAGATAATATTTGTATGTGTCGTGACCCAAGAGGTATGAACGTATCGTGATCCAAGAGGTACGAACGTGCCGTGCCCCAAGAGCTACGAATGTGTCGTAACCCAAGAGGTACGAACATGTTGTGACCCAAGAGGTGCAAATGTATCGGAACCGAAATGTTGCGAACGTGTCGGGACCGAAAGAGTGCGAACGTATCGGGACCGAAAGAGTGCGAACGTATCCGGACCAAAAGGGTGCGAACGTGTCGGTACCGAAAGGGTGCGAACGTATCCGGACCAAAAGGGTGCGAACGTGTCGGTATCCGGACCAAAAGGGTGCGAACGTGTCGGTACCGAAAGGGTGCGAACGTATCCGAACCGAAAGGGTGCGAACGGTTTGGGACTGAAAAGGTGCGAACGGTTCGGAACCGAAAGGGTGCGAACGGTTCGGGACCGAAAGGGTGCGAACGGTTCGGGACTGAAAAGGTGCGAACGGTTCGGAACCGAAAGGGTGCGAACGGTTCGGGACCGAAAGGGTGCGAACGGTTCAGGACCGAAAGAGTGCGAATGGTTCAGGACCGAAAGGGTGCGTATGGTTCAGGACCGAAAGGGTGCGAACGGTTCGGGACCGAAAGGGTGCGAACGGTTCGGGACCGAAAGGGTGCGAACGGTTCGGGACCGAAAGGGTGCGACGGTTCAGCCCCGAAAGGGTGCAAATGGTTCGGGACCGAAAGGGTGCAAACGGTTCAGCAGCGAGAAGGTGAAAATGGTTCGGCACCAAAGGGTGCGAATGGTTCGGCACCGAAAGGGCGCGGATGGTTCGGCACCGAAAGGGTGCGAATGTAACGTCATCGAAAGGGTGCAAATGGAACGTCACTGAAAGGATGCGAATGTAACATCACCAAAAGGGTGAGAATGTAACGTCACCAAGAAGGTGTGAATATAACATCACCGAAAGGGTGCGAACATAATGTTACCAAAAGTGAACGAACATAATATCATTGATACTTATGGATGCAAGTCATTAGGGTTTAAGGTCGAACCATCATGAGTGGTAAACATATTGTTCATGGTCGGGTGCTATGGACTATGATCCATGATATGGATCGATGACTCAAAAAAGAAGTGTATATGAAACAACCTTAAGGTTCTATTGTACCTTGTAATAAGTATAAAATGTATACATTTAAATGTATGGTAATGAAAGCACATATGCAATGACATCAAAAAATGTTTTTTTTGAAAAATGGAAAGACATGACTCCTGATGGTAAATATTACACACCTATATAAATAAGTATACAATCCAAGGTGTATCGTGTTACACAAATTATGGAACTACTTTATAAAGTTTGTATGCCAAATTTAAATACAAACCATTTTTAAAATTAAATATAAAAATAATCAGAAAAGATTAATTATTTATATGTTTCCTTTAAAAGACACTTTTAAGGATATTTAACAGATCATAAAATATAATTTTCAAAAATACTCCACCTTTCATTTTATTTGGCATTCATAAACTTTCACATTAATTGAGATTTTTATTAAGATACACAACTTTTCATTTTATTTGGCATCACAACCTTTAGAATTAATTGAGAATTTTGTTAAGATACACAGCCTTTCATTTTATTTATTAAGAAACACAAATTTTCATTTTATTTTTTTAAAGAGACACAACTTTCCATTTTGTTTTACATTTACAACATCTCACATTAATTGACATTTTTATTAAGAATTACAACTTTTCATGTTATTTGGCATTCACAACCTCTAGAATTAATTGAGATTTTTTTTAAGATACACAACTTTAGAATTAATTTGTAATTTTATTAAGACACATAACCTTTCATTTTATTTATTAAGAGACACAACTTTTCATATTATTTTATTAATAGACACAACCTTTCATTATATTTATTAAGAGAAACAACTTTCTTATTTTACATTTACAACATTTCACATTAATTGATATTTTTTATTAAGAGTCAAAGCCTTTCATCTTGATTGACATTCATAACTTTTCGAATTAATTGGGATTTTTTATTACGATACACAAATTTTATTTTATTTGACATTCACAACCTTTAGAATTAGTTGTGATTTTTATAAGAGACAACATTTCATTTTATTTATTAAGAGACACAATCTTTCATTTATTTCTTTAAAAAGACAAAACTTTTCAATTTATTTTGTATTTTCAACCTTTCACACTAATAAACATTTTTATTAAGAGTCTCAATTTTTCTTTTTATTTGGCATTCACAACCTTTGAAATTAATCAAGATTGTTGTAATTAGTAGATTTTTATTATGAGAAGACACAACTCTTATAACTATTTTAAATATTTTTAATTTATTTTTTCTGAGACACAATTGTTTTTATAATGAAAAGATGCAACTTTTAAACTAATATATTTCAGTTTTTTATGAATAGATACAACCTTTCAACAATTGTTATTATGAGAAGACAAAACTCATACAACCTCTTTTAAATACTTTTAAACTATTTTTTTCTGAGACACAAACTTTTTTTATAATGAAAAGATGCAATTTTAAAAATAATAGAAATTTTTTTATAAAAAGACACAATTCTATTTATAATAAAGAGATGCAAATTTTAAACTATATATTTCAGTTCTTATGAAAAGATACAACATTTCAACAATTGTTTTGTTTTTCATCTAATGGTCCAAATATAAATTTTATGAAACTTTTGAAATAATAGATTTATTTTTTAAATACACAATTATTTTTATAATGAAAAGATGCAATGTTTAAACTAATATATTTCAGTTTTTTAATGAAAAGATACAACCTTTCAACAATTGTTATTATGAGAAGACACAATTCTTATAACCTCTTTTAAATACTTTTAAACTTTTTTATCTGAAATATAAACTTATTTAATAATGAAAAGATGCAACTTTTAAAATAATAGATAACTTTCTATGAAACTACACAATTCTATTTATAATAAAAAGATGTAACTTTTAAACTAATATATTTCGGTTCTTATGAAAATATACAACCTTTCAACAATGGTTTTTTTTTGAAAATTATTTTTATAATGAAATATGCAACTTTTAAACTAATATACTTCAGTTTATTATGAAAAGATACAAATTTTCAACCATTGTTTTGTTTTTCATGCAATTGTCCTAAGAAGTGTTTTTTAGACATAAGATATTTATGGCATTAATTTTCAAACAACACATCTTTTTACATGAAAGAGTCATACTTTTTCATATTTGAAGGATTACAATCTTTGGTTATAATTGTTTTTCTTCCATTGGTCTTCATAATTTTTTATACTTACATTAAAACTTCTATGAGCAGTTATTTTTTTCAAACAATACATATCTCTTTACTCTGAAGAGTCATACTTTTCCCTAATTCTTGATTTTTAAAATTTTT